GATATTATGATAAACGCTTAAATGGTCTACCTATTTCCAATTACGAACGTGTTAAATTGACTCCGCTTGCAATAACAGACGAAACAAACGATTTATATTATGCCGAGGTAAGACATTTACTTATGCGTCATGTTTATTGGATTGTTTAAATGATTATTGACGTATCATTTCCACTAGTTATGTGATGAGCATCCAGATATTCTTATCAATAATGTTTGGGCTACCATCGGATTTACATACAATACAGAGGAAGGGAAGTATTATTTAATAGAAATGGGATCTAAGAATGGATCATGTCTGGCATGCGCACAGCCATTGCCATCCGAAGTAAATGCATTCTGTTATGGATGTAAAGCACCAAGACCTGTCGATTGGACGACTGGCAACAAGTCATTGGATTCATTAATTATGGAATCGTGGAAGAGTACCAAGAAGGAACAAGATGCGTTTATACAATGGATAGAGTATTCTCTATTGACAAACATACAAGAGATGACATTGTTACAACATGGATGCACACATATAGCAGATTGGACAACAACGGATGGATTGACACGAGTGATGCTCAAAAAGATAGTTGTTGACAAACATGATCAATCGTTTGATTTCCGTCAGGTAAATTATTTCACGTGTATAGTATCGCACGTTTAAATCGATCAGTGTTCTAACCTCGTATTCAATAAATAGCTAACCAAGAAATACCCAGAGATAATAACACCTGATAATATTTGGATAGTTGGGATATCTCAAGAGCCATCTACTCGAGAATACTATTTAGTCTTCTACTCTGACATACACGCAATAGTGGGCAAATTTATGCGAAAGAATAAACGTGTAAAATGCATCCAATATACCGCATTTGATGAAATTAAAGAAATTGGATCTGGAGGATATGCAACCGTCTATACTGCCAGATATTCAGAAGGAAATATGACACAAACAGTTGTACTCAAACGGTTTAAGAATTTTGATGGAATGCCAGAATTATTTATTTCCGAGGTAAGCAATAATTTGGCGGTATTAATTAATGTGATATTTATTTGACACTGTATTTATTTTTACTTGATAGTTCAGAAATCATGCCAAGTGCATAAACCGTAGTTATTCTTCATTCCTTGATATTTACGGTGTCACACAAGACCCGGAAACAAAAGACTACATGATTGTTATGCAATATGCCAACAATGGTAGTCTTTTGTCTTATTTGGATCAAAATATTAACAAATTGACGTGGAGGATGAAATTAGAACATTTGATGAATATTGCATATTATCTGTGTGTTATCCATGATGCAGGAATTGTGCATTGCGATCTTCATGGCGGAAACATAGTTTTGCATAGTGACAATGGGTCTGAGACGGAAAAGGATTTTCGTACAAGTAGACCACTTATATGCGATTTTGGTCTCTCACGATCAGTGAATTCACGCGAGTCGAATCCAACCATCCGAGGCGTTTTCCCTTTTATTGCACCGGAAGTCTTTCATACTCGCAAATTTACGACTAAATCAGACATATACTCTTTTGGCATTATTATGTATTTAGTTGCTACTGGTGAAACACCTTTTAGAGATAGACAATTCGATAGAGGTTTAATATGCGATATTACAAGTGGACTACGGCCATCGATGCCTGATTCAGCGCCAGAAGAATACAAGAAACTTGCCGAGCGGTGTTGTGATGCCAATCCTGATAAGCGTCCAGATGCTTGGCCATTTTACGATTATATTTACGAGCTTATTGGGAAAGTGATCAAGGATAATTCTGACGACAACACGTGGAATACCGTCTATCATAATAATGTAAGACCTTTGTCACGTCTTGAGAAGGAGAGTAAATACTCTAGTGCGCTCTTACCTACTGGAGATTTGCCTAAACGAATAAACAGTTAAGATGCAGTCGCGGGTGTGAGGTCACATATAATTTGCAAGATCTGTCAATAGTATCCAGCCTTAAATTCATGACAATTGGTCAAAACAAATTAGGGCGTTATAGTCAAAGACTGAAATTCTATTTCCGATAAAATGTTAATCAATTTAGCAGGATCGATAAAATAAAAACGTAAACTAATTATGGAAAATATTTGTGAAAAAATACTCTATTCCTCATTCATTACTCTATTGTAGCACAACAATCAATAACTTACATATCGAATGTTCACTTTGTCTGATTTTGTTGCAGTCTGCCTCAATACAATTATTGAGTAAGTATTTGTATAACCGTTGCAAGTTTAAAACTTTGCATTCTTTTTGCATACCAGTGTATTACAGGCTCTTGTTCATAATGGACTTTTTTCGCATGAATAGGCCCTTCATCTTTATAATACACAAAAGCGATCAAATGTTATTGTCAAAGCATTTTTCATTTTTACTTTTACGTCATCCGCGACGCAGATAAATCAAATCAACTCGAGTAACTCGAATAACGACTGTTGCAAACTTATCGTGTTACTACTGACAACCAGCCCTTTATGTCATAATCTAGTATTAGTCTCTCCAGCCACACTAGGTCAAGTAACCCCCAAACAAATTTGTGGCGCTATATACTTGCCCCCACATTTTCCATTGATGATGTCACCAACATCACTAAACTCTCACTTCCGCATCTGTATACTCCATCTGCATGCATATGAAATAAAAGACTAAAAAATAAAACCACCTATTCTTCTCCCTCGTGCAAAGAGCACACAAGCAAGAACCGAAGACTAGGGAAGGCGCGAATAAAACACGCGTACGTAATGAGCTGGGCTTATCTCTCTAAACGCGCACAGTTACGCACAGAAAATGTCGCCCTTCTTAAAGAAGGATTCCAGGAAGCTCAGAAAAATCCATATCACAGAACTGACAACCCGTCGGGAATAATTCACCTGGGTGTAGCTGAGAACCAGCTCATGGTCGAAGAGCTACTGCAAAGGGTGTGTGAGAGCAATCTTCCCTCTTACTAATTAACTGCTAGACACTATAGTTCTCTTTCCCAAATCCCAAATCAATACTTGAGAGAATCAACCTATTCAATTACGGACTAATTACAATCATACATAAATTAATAATTGACCATAGAGCAGCGAATTTCCAAGTTATTAATGACATGAATGATAATTCTAAGAGCGAATTAAGTATATTCAGTATTTAAATACTCAATTCTCCCCCCTTCTACTGTTATATTAACAGCTTCCAACACTATTAGACCTCGAATCACGACACCTCCATTACGGACACAATACTGGCTCACAAGAACTCCGTACTCAAGTAGCAAAACTCATCAACAGATATTTTAATGTACAGTCTGAGATCCTGCCCGAACATATTACCGTCCACACTGGAGTCACCAGCGCAATAAACGATTTGGCATATGTATTGTGTGATGAAGGAGATGGCATTCTGATCCCCACACCCTATTATGGTAATTGTTGCTTTCAGTTAATCTCTTCATCTATATCTTCCTGCAACTCTTTATTCTTCCCTTCTTTTCCTCGGCATTATCATGATTATAACCTTCATCGTATCATCTTTCTTGTAGGATATTTCGACCAAGATCTCTATCTCAAAGTACATGCCCGCGCTATACCAGTTCACATTGGATCGGCAAGAGAAATATTTGACGAGCAAGCCCACATCGAACAATTAGAGTCTGCTTATTCCAAAGCCACCAAAGACGACAAGATAAACGTCCGCGCTCTCCTCGTCACTAATCCACATAATCCACTTGGACAGTGCTATCCGCGTCCCGTACTTGAAGCACTGTTAAAGTTTGCCAGTAGTCATAAATTGCATATCATCTTTGACGAGATTTATGCCCTATCGGTATTCGATCATGTGTTAGAGTCAAGGACACCATCAAATTCAATGAGGAGTTCCCTCTCGAGAGTCAAACAACCGTTCATGTCAGTATTAGCGCTGGATAATCTGGACGAATTGATTGATCCGGCCTTTACTCATGTCATTTATGGACTATCTAAGGATTTCTGTCTCAATGGTAAGTAACGGATATACGAGTGGTGAATGGATTAGCAGACGAGACATGTATTACAGACAGCTAAATAATCGATTAGCATAGGGATGTAAGCGATGTATGGTATTATTAATTACTTCAATATCTGACATACTTAATAGGGTTTCGAGTAGGATTTTCCATTAGTCCATATAATCAAGCTCTCCGAGAAGCTCTGAAAAATATCGCGTATGTACAACAAACATTAGGTCGCATTCTCCTAGTAGTTCCATCCAATACTCACCCAGCGCATTTTCTCGTATCTTTCATAACAGTGAATTATCATGGGTAGGTACACCGTCAGAAAACATTGCAACAAACTTACTCGCGGATGAGAACTATATCGATTGGTTCCTTACGACAAATCAACGTCGCCTTTCCGAAGCATACTCTCGCGCAATAACCCTACTATCAGACTCTAAGATTCCATATATCCCCGCTCAAGCGGGTCATTACATCTGGATTGATTTACGAGAATATGTTTCAGGGAGCCGAAATCAGGAACACGAGTTATTCAGAAAGATTTTGCAGAATGGGGTATATATTGCCTTGGGTGACGCTTTTCATTCAGAGGAACCGGGATGGTTTAGTCTGACATTTGCTGTTGAGGGGGAGATGCTTCGAACGGCTGTATCGAGGATTGTTGAAGTTTTGGGGAAGTTTAGAGATAATTGAGGATTACTTATTATTAAAAATAGTCGGTTTATAGAAACAAACGTGTGATTAGGTTGTATTGAGGTGAGAAATTGAGAGGATAATGGGAATAGGATTCAATTGTGGAATAGAAATGGTCATTGAAGCGAACATTCGTCCTTTGGTTTGTTATTCAATAACCTCATGTGAATCTTTTTGTGTTTGCATTCATGCCAGCGTATAATGGTTTTGGTGTAGGAGCAATTAGAATGCGCACCATTCCATTTTACCATATATTTATGTACTTTTTGATTGTAATATTGGTATTAAACCCCCATTACTCAGATGGAAAAGACGGTTACGATGGAGGTGATATTTTTAGGGCCTTTATGAAAATGTCAGCATGTTTTATTATAACAACCTGTTTATCGAACTGACAACACAACTATCCTCCTCAATTTCTACTTACGTGTTAGTTATCCACATGTCAGCTCTAACAGGATTATCTTTTTGTAGTCGATCGATACTGATCAATCTATTCGCTACGAGCATATACACAGCGGACACACCTTGACTTTCCTGTAGTCCTTGCTCACGCGCAGCTTGTCCGATCTTCTCCTTCAGACTTGCTAATGGAATGATTCCATTAGCATCGCGTATAATTTGTAATACTATTGCGCAGAGGATAATCTGTGAAGTCGAGCTCAAGTTTGTAGTGGTGTCTTGGTTAATGTCAGGGTACGATCCAGCAGCTACGTGATCTGTGATTGTACTATTTATTTCCCTGTATTGATATTGGAAATTGTGTTTGTAGGTAAACACGAGTTTTAGCAGTGGTGCCAATAACAGCCCAAAGAAATGATGAGAACTTACGCCAGTACATCAACATCACAATCGAGTAGGTCATATTTGCGGCGGTCTTCCATTAATTTCTCTAATTCATCTTCTGCTGTAGTCTTTGGTAGAAATAATATAGCATAAACATGCATAATGTCAATAATTCGAATAAAAAAAACCCATCGCGACTTACCATTAACGTATGTACTTTTAGTGAGAGTTCGGAAGTTCTATTATCTGACAGAGCGTCTGTTGACAGTCTAGTCTATTTTTTTGCAGCATGAGTTATTTATCATAATGTTAGTAATTACACTATATAAATGAAGCCAGGCGAGTCAATTGGCAATTCTCTTCGCAAAAGACCTCGATGAGAGGAACAAAATTACACTTATCTTGAACTGGCTTGGCATGTTATAAGACAATACTTACCGTGTTATCACGTACTAATGTGTTGTATCGTGCTTTCAGACGACCAAATTCAGTATCCTCTGTTTCTCGCTCTGCTTCTGCTTCATCTAGTAAACTGATCTTCGATTCTACCATAACTTATGCGTTACATAGTGCTGACTATGACTAATCGTGAACACGTTAGTTCAAATGATGCACCTATTTCGTCTAAAACTTGTCGCATTGTTTCAAGCTCCTGCACTCGTTCGGCTAATTTCTGAATAAAAAACGACATCATGAGTTGGTGATGTCCAATGTAGCCGATACATGATATGGCTCTTGCTCCAGACTCTAACCTTGCGTTCTTCATCATCAGTCAAGCCCATTTGCTTGCTCATGTGAGCTTCTTCTGCCTGATATCTTTGATCATATAACTTTGTATCCAGAGCATCGTTCTATACCAAAAATCGGGATTCATATTCTATTACACATATTTTACACATACTGATCGCGTGCTAACGATATTCTTATACCATGTCTTGGTTCTCCTTGACTAGCGCTTCCAATGCAAATATTTCCATATTTTCGCGCTTTATTTCTTCTTCGAGAGCCGCATTCGGCTTTTCATTAGTTTTGAGCTTGCCAAGATTTATTTCTTGCTAAAAGGAAAAAAAAAAAAAAATAAAGCCCAATCTCAGTCAAAAGTGAACAAGCGTGTATATATCAATCCAAAAAAGTTTATATCCATTGCCTTCTCCAATATAGATTCCAATGAATCTATCGATGATGTTATCTCTTCGTTGCGCTGATTCAGAGTAGAAATATATTTTTTGGCATCCGCAAGACCACTGGGAAACGTTTATCCCGGCATTCATCAGCAACTAATTCACACATAGACAATGAATAGTAGGCCACCCTGTATAGTAAATTCTGTCTGCATACCATATTTGCGCTAAAACGTTTGCACCTCTTATAAGTCTTTCAACAGTCAACGGACCCGCACCTCGTAAAGGGGTTGGAGGTTCGAATTGCGGTCTTTTAAATATAATTTAGAATGGATACCATTAGAGAATGAGTACGGATGTCTCCACAAATCGAAATGGATGCATATATGCTACCGGGTAACCGCCCCTCCTTCATCGACCATCGTAAAGAGTTTCCGTTCATGCATAAATGCGTCTCTGATAGCTCCTCGAGCTGCCGTTCGATCAGTCAACACATCCACACGCCCTCGGAGTGATGTAAAATCAAGTGACGCTACTCTTGCGGAAGCATTGACAACATTCTCCAAATGTTGAAGCGACATTCTGAGAACGAAGTTGTATAAACACGTTGCTTATTCTTTCTCGAACTAGTGTATATCGGTGTCGCTACGCGTGACGTCAAAATTCAAACATCGGACCATTCTCAGAATAGATAAAGGCGTCAAGCCACAGTTGATCTTGAACATGTAAGAAATTCTGTGCACAGAGCGCGTTCCAATTATGGCGTGGCCTTGTGGAGGTCAACAATATTTCTTGTAAAGACCAATCTTTCTTCAATTATAACCGTGTCAAGACAGAGCTCAGGTCAGTATAAAATTGCAGAGTCGATACGGAAATTGTCCTAACGAAGAACGCACTCTTCAAAGACTTTTGGCAACGTGTAAGCAAGTTTTCCTCAAAAGTTTCTATCAAATTATATTCATATTGTATGCCTAAATATATTTAATATAGTTGTAAAAACCCCTACATGTCCGATTCTCCGTCAAACTCACTTCACTCTAACGCGGCACAGTCACAACAAGACCAAGTCCCGCGTGCTATGATGCATACTTTTATGATCCAGGGTGCGAAAATGGTCGAGTGCGACCAACAGCTCGTACCGTCCAAGTCTCCTTCGCCTGTGCTCACGCAACCACTCACGCAACCGCTCACTCCGAACAATTCGCTTCGCACACAGACGCCGAGAAATAGTCTAACAAGATATAGTCCAGTAAAGCATAATCTAGTACAACATAGCCTAACGGAACATACTCCAACAAAACATAATAGCCCAACAAAAGGTAGTCCCATAAGACACAGCCCAGCAAGACGTAGTCCAGCAAAACACAGTCCCATGGCAGAACTGACCCCGTCGAATTTCGATGTAACTTTGGCGGTGAAAACTGGCGTACTAACGATGGAAGACGTTTTAGACAAGAGTTCTCCGTTTCAGCAGCAGCAAAACGAGATTCGCAAAAGAAAACGCGACAGTATCGATAAAGATAAATCGACCCGAGAAAGATTATCAATTAATATTGAGGATATCGAGAATACCACGCCTACATCGCCATTATCGAGCAAGCAAACGAAACGCACGCGAACCACGCCTTCTCCAAAAACCAAACAAAGCCCTGGAAGCATACGACGTGGTAAATATCTCCCATCAAACTTGAGTACACATCAAGACCCAAAGAAGAAACCAGGATTTTCATACGCGTCATTAATCGGTCAAGCAATTTTACAATCGCCGACGCGTAGACTTACACTAGCAGAGATTTACGAATGGATTGCCAAGACATATCCGTATTACAGAGTTGCCGGTCCTGGTTGGCAGAATTCGATTCGTCACAATCTTTCGTTAAATAAAAGTTTCGTTCGTATAGAGAAACCTTCGACCGAACCTGGGAAGGGTTCTCATTGGACAATTAAGGCCGGAGAGGAAGATCGATTTGTAGGTGGAACGTACAGGCAGCGGAAAAATGGTATGCGTGGTCGAAGTCAAGGAAGCCAAGAAGCAGACTCGCAAGAACTCGAAACGCACGGTTCATTAAATGAGGACGATCTTGCTGCTTTGGCCGGTTTGGATATCGTTTCCGGCATATTTGGTGAGGGTAATTCTGAGGTTGGTTTGGAGACATCATTGGACCTCAGGCCGGATCAAGTCAACGCGTTGTGGAAAAGGCTTGCGAACGTGGCCAAGAATAATAAATCATCCGGTAACGATATATCCACAGCAGTAGATTCGTATGATGAACACGATCTTTTTCCGTTCGATCTAGACATAATTGAAGAACCAAATGACGAACAGATAGTATTTGAAGACCTCTGTGCTCAATTGGAGCAGAACATTCAAGAACAGAATGATACTAATGTTGATGGTATCAATGGTACCTTTACACCAACCAACACAAACGAGCTCGAGTTGGGTTCACTTGACTCACTCTGGGATCAATACTTTTCGAATAATGATAAAAGTCAGGCAGACGATTCTGATGTGATACCGTTTGATTTGACTGCCGACCTTGCTCCAGAAGAAGTCAATGCCCTATGGGATCAGTATTTTGCCATTTGTGAAGAGACAGACAATAATCGGACGATTAATACTGTCAATATCGAGCGACAGAATGAAGACAAGGTCGAAGGGCAGAATGTTGGAACTGGACCATTACAAGAGGGCACATCTCAAGGAGAATGTCCTCTTAGAACAGATGATGACACTCTTTGGTTACAATATCTTTCTTTAGCTTCTTTTTCGGATTCATTGTCTCCCGTTATCTGCTCCTTATTGCCTCTTATCTAATTTGTGTGCACATTTTATTCTTTCCCTAGGTTTTACAGATTTGCTTGTTTGTATGTAATAACTTCGTAAAATACAAAAATATTCAAAAGTTTCTTTTCGTTGTTTCGACGTGATAATAACAGTATATAAGTAAATAAATCTAACGTTTGTCTGGAATGTTTACCAGTGTATCTATTGGACCATGCTTGCAAATTTACCGCTGATAGTTGAATATCTATTGCAATCCTTATCTTAGTATGCCCCCCACATTTTTAACGCTTATTCCAAAGAATTGGTATTCTAACCATAGTTAGGATGGATGGCCTTACCAAAAATAGACGTTAACGTTAAACGCTAATCGCCAAAGTTAAGAACAGTAATTTACTTAATAGAGCATGTGTACGACATCTTGGTTGTACAACATTGAAAACAACCAAAAATATTCCAAATACGGTTTTAATGTACATGATTGTGTAGAGAGCGAGAGCATGTGACAACAAATTTTGGCAATTCTATGCTTGCATTATGCATAGTCCCAAAAATAAGCAATGATATAGAACAATTGATCCGTACTAAAAAAGTATTTTTCAATGCCCTTGACAGATCCTCGATACCCACATTGCAACTCAACTGATCCCTTTTGTTGGCGCTGTTCTCACATTTGGCTACTGCTACCGGATATCGCGAAATTCTCGTTAGCATTATTGCTATGGTTGGCTGTCGAGAAATTTGTTAACAATTTATTGTATTGGGGGGATTATCGCAGACCGTTCTGGACCTCATTTTACATATCTACAGATAAATCTGTACAGAAAGAGCCAGAACACGAGGCAGATGGCTAGAACAAGGCCCATCCAGTCCATCCTCGCAGAAGTTCATATTACTCTTCAGTCTATGTAATAAATTTAACCAATTATTAAAAATCTAGTAAACTAGCGTAATAGAGATACAAGGGGGAGGGATGTAACAGACGATAAAGGCTATAATGAAACCAAAAACCAGTATTAGAGTAAACCGAACGTATGGAGTTTGCACATATAACATATACGTGGCGGATAAAAAGGAATATCTGCTTTACACCAAAGCCAACTCCAAAGTCCATGTGCGCCTGCACCACAATCGTACTTTTGTGGGATTCTCCTCTTCACCGATTGAAACCTCTACTCCATCCCACCAGCATTTTCTCTATTTATGGTTCAAGGGAAAAAGTGGTTAGTTGGTGACGAAACACTCAGTCAACGAGAAATTTCCAAGCGATTCTCAAACCCAGTTATTATTAACGATCCACCTATTTTTTAATACAAGGTTCCTGTATACTAACCGCGGGTTTTCTCCAGAACAAAAGCAACTTCTGTGCCGTCGCCATTTGATTACTCTGACCGGTTGTCTTGAGCATCACCAACGCAATACTGACGATACTCGTCCTTTGCGGTTCAATATTACGATAGCCCCACTCGTCATCTCTTGAAAATCCAGAAACACAAAGCATGTCTATCAGATGTTGTTCGGCTGCGTTATTCTCCTTGTTTACATTCCGTTGTAATGCAGTGAATATCTTCTTTTGATTTAGGAGATGTACGCCACACTCAGATTTCAAAGTGTAGAGGTCAATAACCGACTCGACATCATTATTGTCTCTGAGATAGGAAGCTACATCAACTACGACTTTTTTTGATTTTGGTGGTATGGTAAAGTAATCCAGCTCTTCTCTCAGAACGATAATTGCTTGCTTGTTTAGCAAAGGGTTTTGAACGCTCGGGGGATAAGCCGAAGCACCACCTCCTTGATGATTAGAATAAAAAGCCTCCTGTGCTTTTTGATAGAATTCCAGGATAAATGTTAGACAGGCGGGATCGAAATCCACATAAATAAGTTGGTCTTCCAATCCTTCCGAATCTTCAGAAGAGGTATCGCCCTCAGATACTTCTTCACCATATGGATCTAAAGCGCCTCTTCCTAAGATAAGGCCGTTGGGAAACATGACAATAAGAATGCTCTCTGGCAAACTCATCAGCATTTCTCTATCGATTTCAAATCGTGTTCCTCGTAATTCGAGAGAGAGCCTCGTCGGAAACGTTTGTTCCGGCATCTGAGGAGTTTGCATGGGAGCCACTTGAGTTATAGGAGAAGAGGCTATTTGAGACATTTTTAGTTGATCGCTAGTAGCCCGAGTATAGTTAGGTGGATGTTGTAGATTCGAAAATATTAGATGAAAGCCGTTGAAGAGGGCAAACGAGAGTAAGAGTGTTGTGTTTTGTTGCTATTATTATGCAGCGATACAAAGGCCAGCCAACCACATTTAGAGTGCACAGTGGCACTACCGTAAATATAGTAATAGGATTAGAAATGTTTGGTGGAACAAGCACAATGCGTTAATGTACGTTGAGCAAGGACAGTCAGTTTAAACGTTTGCACATGTAGCAAGGCAGTATCTGTATGTTGTGATTCTAATAATAAGCGTCTGTCGACTCAATTGAGAATATATAAATGATATTACTTTATCTGCTAATGTTGAGTCTCATTCTACCATGCATTAGTTGTTTATTGTGATCAGAATACTATAGATAATAATATTATTAATTACCAAGTAAAGTATTCGATATCAAGCGTGAAATGATAAAATACGCATAAAACGTGGGTTTTCTTTAACTATCACAATGTTCATAATTACGTGAGTTTGTAAGGGATCAAATCTTGTCTGGGTAATATGGTAAGAGACTCCAATATGTAAATTCATTTCATCACAGCTTTATATAATACTATGAAAGTGAAAAAGCATGGGGCTGGCATCGAACAAATTGGCTGATGCAGACTTGTACAGTTTGGGGTTAAATAATTTTAAACGCCAAATATTCGACTGGTAACTTCGAATGTTGTAAAACCAACTTTACGTTTACACCATGAGTAAATGTCATTTTAACCGATAAGAATAAACGCAAATGTTAAATTAAGAATGTTGTATACAAGAAATCAATTCACAACAACAACAACAACTACTACAACAACAACAACTACTACTACTACTACTACAACTACTACTACTACTACTACTACTACAGCTCACATCAAAATTCAATTTAATCTATGTTGCAAATAAACTCATTGAAATCTTGTTAATTAAACTGTATTGACATGAATACAGTTAAAATAAACTTCTTAGTCAAAATTTTGAGTCACTAAATTAGGAGATAAACTGCTGTCAATATTGAGTAGTTGACTTATTTAGTGTAAAGTTCCTGCCTCCATACCTGCGCCAGAATCTCCAGTAGGTAAGAGCTTACTAGAGTATTTACTCTCTTTCTCCAGACGTGATACGGGCCTTACATCATTATAATAAATGGTATTCCACACGTCGTCAGAATTATCCTTGTTCACATTCCGAATGAGCTTGGACAACAGTTCCTCGGCGTCTGGACGCTTATCAGGAACAGCATCACAACACCGCTCGGCAAGTTTCTTGTATTCTTCTGGTGCCGAGTCAGGCATCGATGGTCGTAGTCCGCCCATAATATCGCATACTAAACCTCTATCGAACTGCCTATCTCTAAAAGGTAGTTCACCAGTGGCTGTTAAATACATGATAATACCAAAAGAATATATGTCTGATTTCTGAGTAAATTTGCAAGTATGAAAGACTTCCGGTGCAATAAAGGGTAAAACGCCTCGAATGG